TGGTGTCATTGTTGATGATAAACTCAAGTGGAAACCACACATCAAATACGTTCAAAGTAAAGTCTCAAGAAATAACGCCCTCTTAAACAAAGCCAAGTTGGTCATAGAACAAAAAGCATTACATGTACTCTACTGTTCACTAATCTTACCTTATTTAAGCTATTGTGCAGAAATCTGGGGCAATAATTACAAAACTACACTACAGGCATTAACAATACTAGAAAAAAGTGCAACAAGAATAATCCATAAGGTGGGACATTTAGAAAGCACTAACATACTATTTGTAAAATCTAATTTATTAAAGTTCATTGACATAGTGAAAGTACAGACAGCTCTAATTCTTTACAAAGCAAAAAATAAACAATTACCAGAAAACATTCAAAACCTGTTTAAAATTAAGGAGCAAATTTATACGTTAAGGGGGGAATCACAGTTTAAAATATGCAAAATTAGAACTATTAGACAAAACTTTTGTGTATCAGTAAGTGGAGTCAAACTGTGGAATAATTTGAATATTGAACTTAAACAATGTCCAAACATAACACTGGTCAAATTATCATATAAACTTATGATTATTGCTGGATATAATATATATAGTAATATTATTCATTTATTGTTGTTGTTGTTTTTTGTTATTTGTTATTGATGCTTTTGTTTTTGGTGAAGTTAAAGGAATAATAATTGTTCATCTACTATAGTTAACTTAAATAGATACTATATTGATGGATAAATATGGGATTAGTTGTTATATTTATGGATTATACATGTAATGAATGTAAGATTATGTAAGCGGTTAAGGAGTGGGAATTTTGATAAGTTTATACTTCTACCCACTCCTTTGAATATGTAAAGCAAAAAGTTTTGACATTATGCTTCATGCTATATATATTTTTTTTCTTTTTACATATTCAAAAAATAATGAACTTAAACTAAAATACTCCGGAGCGACTTATACGGCGGAAAATATGATACATTTCTGTGCCATGTTGCTGCTGCTGAAGGGTTAACCCTTTGATGTCCTGCTGCACTTCTCTTCACTACAATTTAAATTTAAATACTGTAACATTTTAAATAAACAATTCATGCTGTATGGATTGTTTATTTAAAATATTACAGTATTTAAATTAAAAACATTTAAGGAGGGAGATTGGGAGTAATAGGTGATGAGTGTGATTACAGCCTGGCAGTTTACTGTACTTGAACTTGGACTACTGTATCCCTACTTCACGTTTTTTCACTTTTTTTTTTTTTTGGGGGGGGGGGGGGGGGGGGGGGCTGGTTACGAACCCCCCATGATAAACGAGGGACTACTGTATATGTCAGGCAGCTGTGACTGAGCAGCACTGAATATGTTGAAAATGTGTATACATTTATTTTGCTTTGTTCCACTTATTAACATGATAAAATATTGGAATGGTTCACTGAGGGTAACAGATATTCTTGCATGCTTTTGTTTAGTTCAGTTCAATTCAGTTAATTTCTATAGTGCCAAGTCAAAACATAAGTTATCTGAGGGCACTGAACAAAAACATTCACATACATAAAAAATGCCGTTTAGTAAAGTTATCTGGGGAAAGAAGGAAGCCAGCAGATTGCTTTGAGTCTTCATTCCGTTGCAGGTTCCCATCCTGAGCTAGCACAAAGGCAACTGTGGGAAGGAAAAACTCCCTCGCGATAGGAAGAAACTTCCAGCAGAAACGGGCTCAGGACAAGTGGCCATCTGCTTCGACTGGCTGTGTTTGAGAGTTGCCCCTGAAGTCAAGAGCCTCCGTTTCAGACTCTTGTGCTCTGGAGAGTGAGTGGAAAGTTTTCACAACAAAAAAACTGAAAATAACCTAAAAAAAAGTCTGGGTCTCCAGTCCATCACAGGAACAACAACCATTCACTCTCTCACTCTCATCTAGAGACAATTTAGAGTTACCATTCAGCCTAACATGCATGTTTTCGGTATGTGGTAGGAAACCGGAGTACCAGGAGAAAACACGCATGCACGGAGAGAACATGCAAACTCTACCCAGAAAGGTCCCGGGTCGGGATTGAACCAACAACCTTCTTGCTGAGAGGCAACAGCTCTACCAATGAGCCACGTGTGTCGCATCTGTTGGTGATTGTAAATATCTAAAATGCTTCTTCAAACACATGGACAGTAACACCTAAACTTCAAAATACTGTATGTCAGTTTGATGTTTTGGAGATTTTGTTCAGTGTTAATACTGCCCCCTGGTGATCTTAGTATATTAAAAATAAACTGTTTATATATATATATATATATATATATAATTTAATATAAATATTACTATTACTATTATTACTATTATTATTATTACTGGGTATTATGAAGTGATTGATTACACATAACTGCAGTTACTGAAAGGCTGATCCAGCAGTCAGAACTGATTTTCCTGAAAATAAAAAACAAAGGCAGATCAGATCAGTAGGCAGAAGTCAGTTTTCGTTTGGATTTTAATAAAAACTTGATTGTTGATCCAAATATATTAATTTTACTTGCATTATTACAATTTTTTTTCATACTTCACACTAGATACTAAAGAAATATCAATATTTCTCTGCCTTTAAAACCCGCACTAAAAAATAAAAATGTGTATGATGGAGATGTGAAAGGTCACAGATGTTTTTCACTTACTGAAGTCAAATGTTATAAGTCATGTTACCATGTGTGTGTGTTAAAAAGTTGCTTTTGTCTGGATCAGATCAGAGTGCTGCAGAAGCATGGAGCCTTGCACCTCAAAAGTCAAACCTAAGCAAGAGGCTGCAGCAGTCGTCTGACCTTGTCTTTGTCTGATAACATTTATAAAAAGATGCTCTTTTAGGCTCTCGGTGAGCAGACTTAGGACGGAGCGTCATGTAAACATCTTGATGCTTGTATTTCAACACTGCTCCATCTAGCAAGATTAAACCTGGGATTAAGAAAATTATCTACTTCTCCTGTGTGGCATATTTATTTAATGAGCTATGGAAAGGATAATATTGAATTAACCTAACAACGTATGTGTACCTTAAGTAGTTATATTTAAAAAGTGTTTTGATTACATCTACACTGCTTTTCCATTGTGCACCTGTTGCTCAACAAGATCCAAATAAATATATTCAGATTCAATTACATAAAGCACTTTTCTTTCTGTTTTTTTTTTTCTTTTATTAAGCAGCAAAATTTCTGCAGTTTTATTCGAGTGGCAAAAAAAAATCTCACTGCCTTTCCTGATGGCTCTGCTCAGATCTTCTACTTACGTTGAATTTGTTGTGAACAAAATTTGATCTAGTGACATTTTTCTGTTCACTTTTACAGGAAGAACAAAAGACCACACAGATGTAATAAACCAGGCCTTTCTAGGACAATGCACAGCATATAGTGTACTGAGGATGTACCAGTCCTTATCGCCATGGTTACAGTTATCCCTCAGGCCTGCTGGCTCTCGTTGTCATGGTCACTGAACAAAATGGCAGCGTTAATGACAATGATGCTTCCTGTCAGACAGTCGAGCTGTGTTTGGGTCTGATGGCAGGGCGGCTTGTTACCAACGACACTTTATAGTAAATGCAATACATTGGATGTTTTTAAACTATTTTATGTGTGAGTTTTTGTAAAAGCTGATATATGGGCTCCACTTTAGGCATGTATGTGTGCGTTTACATGCTGCAGGTTGGTACTGAGCCGATCAGGTTGGACTGACGCGGGTGCCAGAACTTGCCAACAGAACCGAGGCATTCTCTTCCATCTTTTATTCCTGTCCCTGAACAAAAAGGTTGGGGGTACAAATCCTGGGGAATAAAAGAAGTGTTTGTGTCCTTCATGGCATTAGGCCAACAGGCAAAGTTTAGTGGGTACTTGATGTACTCTGGTAAAACCCAGGAAATGTTTTCTCTTTCCATCTCTTCAGACAGTAATATTAAAACACAAGTATTTTTAGTGTTTTAACTACTACTAATAAAACTGAACTTTTATTATTTAATGCCTGACAAAGAGATTGTCTAAATAATGTTCCTATTGTAAAGCATCTGGTTCAAGATCAGCTTTAAAGGAGGAACTGTTCGTGCTGGCAGCAACGATCAGGATCATCCTGGTTATTCAACTTCACCAATTCTTCATGAAACCCACCCGATCCAGATTTAAGCTCGCCTCCACCTTCGGCTGCTGCTCCAAAGTTTTTACAAGATGGTGCTGATGAGCACAACTAACGGAAAGCTTTAATTCATAATGTCTTACAGACTGTGAAATACGAACCCAGTGACTTATGTAGGGAGTTGAATATATAGTCTTCATCTTATCTAACACTATATTTCTTATTCAAACCTTGACGTACGTTTAGGTTTTGAGTTGTACTCGCGTTTAATTGGATTTGCCTGATCTAATTAGGAGGAGCAGGAAGACTTCCTAATCCTATTGGCTTGGACAGATGGTCAGTCAGTTTCCATCTCCATCTACCAGTGTTCAGAAAGGGTCTTGTTTCCTGTCTTAAAGTAGTGGAAATGCATGTAATCAAAAAATACTATTCTTTACCCCATAGGTATATTTACACACAAATGAAATATTTTACTTATCCCGATGCATGCTCAATAATCCAGGTAGATAAATCTAGCAAGATTGTCAGGTCCTCTAGACGGATTCTTCTTCGTTGAAACTAATCGTCGTTTATTTTGCAGCTCCTCAAACTGAAGTAGTTTTTTGGACAAAACATTTCAACAATGAAGAATCCGTCCAGAGGACCCGACTCAACCTTGTTCTAACATTTTACTTATTTGGGATTTTAAAAGGTGATGCAGTTTCTCCATTAGTGCATTTTCCTCTGGGTTTCTTCATTCAAACTACAACTTATTGAGAATTGATCTTATATTCTTTCACCCTGTTAAAAGCCACTTTCCAGCTCACATTCCTTAGAATGATGAAAACAGCTTCAGAGACAAATAGTTACAATGTTTTATTAGTCTTTTTTGCTTCTTTCAAAGTAAGTAAATATAAAATTATTCAGAAATCTTCAAAACACCTCCTAGACATTTTAACAATGACAGGATTTAAGTTGTTTTTTGTTTTTTTTACATGCTTACCTACTTTAGACAATAAACCTAAATTTCTACATATGGCTCATCGGTACAATTGACAACTTTATTAATTTATTTCACAAAGATGAAATATACACAACATGTTAAGACTACAATAATCATTGTTAAATTTCTCCTCTTGACCAATATTTGCTTGGATGAAATTTGCAGTAGTATGATAGTACAAAAAAAAAAAAAAAAAACATCCAAAACTGTTGCCATAGATCCCGCTCTGGCGTCAGGGGCAGGACGTCTCTTTGAAGCGTGGTGAAGGGATGAGGGCATCCAGCCTGCGCTAGCAGTTGTCCTGCCTTCAGCACAGACGTTCATAAACATCACCTCACAGCCCAGAGAGAGGCCCACCTCAAACCTAGACAGCATGGAGTAAATTCATAAGCTTGCACGTCTCCCCTGTTCACACTTTCAGCGCTCATGTGAACTGTACTCTACTTACATGGAGGGGCTTTCAGCTCCAGCCAGGAATTAAAAAGTTGGGTTAGGAGTGGGGGTGTGGTCTTGTGTTCATGTGAACGTTCATCTTCATCTCGTTGTCGAGGATTTGCACAAGCTGTTGCATGGAGGGCAGGTGACCAGACTCCAGTTTCGACCACACTGGTACATCTAAGTGAAAGGAAATAAAACGCTGTTATTCTACAAGATTTTAGTCTTACAAATCTAATGGTGCCTTTTTTCCAACAGATTGCCCGAAACATTACACACTGGAGTTTGTGCCCAATCCAACTAATTTTCCTAACTCAGGTAATGCTGTGTGGAAAAAAAAAATAATAATAAAAAGCTCACCATTTAATGTGATTTCAAATGCTCCTGTTGACATTAACTGGTTTTCGATCATATTGCTGAAAAAGAACACCATCATGCAGGCATATATCTGAAAAAATAAAATCAGTACAGAATTAAAATTGTAAACAAAATTTTACAACACCTTGTGATTCTCAGTTATTTCACTCTGAAAAATTATCAACAGATGAGAAAGCTGCAGTGCACATTAGCAGCGTTAAGAGGCAATAAATAAACATGCAAACCCAGTGGTCCATTAGACTGCAGCTAATGCAGAGTAGCAAAAAATAAGTGGCACAAAAGGAAACACGACACTGTTATACTTATGGGGGAAAAATAGAAATTGTTTCTGTGCATTAACTAATTTCCTGTAAAATTAGAGATTTTTATTTCTCTACACCATAAAACAAAGTGTCAGTTTAGTCCACATTTACTTCATGCTTCTACAAAGAAACAGCAAGTGTTTGTGAATTAAATTAGTACTTGTTACTCCACTTGGTTTGACAGCGGACTAACCTAAAGCACTATTTAAAAAGAGCTGTAAACTTCTAAAACATGTATTTGCATACTTGCAATTTTTACCTGAAGAAAACATGTCACAGCTACAATAGTCTACTTGTCATACAGTTCTATCGTTTCAGCATACTTCCTTTCTGGACAATGCATTGTTCTCAGGATTGGGCTGTTCTACATGTGGTAAGGATTTAATCTGCCACAAAAAGCTCTGTCCCTGTTAGGTGATGAGATTAGAAAGCAGGCCCTGATACAAATACAAATTTATTTTCTTTTTCCAACTTTAGATTTTTAACTGAAGCAAAGAATTTTGTAAATATTGTCCATGTGGTTTCCACATGTAAACTTTAATAGTAGCCAAACACTACAAATATACCAGACATTTTTAGTTTGTTTTTAAATCAAACTTAGCTTTCTGTTAAAAATGCTACAATAAACATTGTTTATTATACATACACAAATGTTGTTCCTGCAGAGTATTTGGCAGAACTAAAGCTCTGGGGACAAATAATCCAAGCAAAACAATGCTCTATAAACACACTGGGAAGCCTCAGAATAAGCATCTAATGAAATCCTTTGGGCTTTAGCTTGTTAGCTGTGAGTGAAACTCAGTTCAACAGAGACTAGTCGTCTCTACTTTTATATTCAACCCATGAGACATTGGAGATAGTCTTAGAACTTTAGTCACGCAAAACCTCCACGACATCATTAAGAATGCAGTAAGAAATCTCCTAAAGTCTTAACTTGTTACTAAACTCCAGGAACCCTTACCTTGTTTTCCTGGCCCCACTGCCAGATCCCAGGGGCTTGCATACCAAAGAAGACAAATGGGTCCCTGCCGATTATAATCAGCCCAATCACCAACAGTTTGAACATAGACAGGAAGGAGGCGATGTGTCTGAGGAAACAAATCACAAACTCATCAGAAACAGAAATCCTAGATATGAAATCACAAAGCTGACATTACAAGCTGGTGCAAAGAGAATAACCTTCACATCAATATGAAGAAGACAAAGGAGATGATCGTGGACTTCAGAAGGAACAAACACACCTACACCCCCCTGAAAACAAGAGGATCTGTGGTGGAAGTGGTCTCCAGCTACAAGTACTTGGGTGTACACATGAATGACAACCTCAGCTGGGACAACAACACCACCAGCCTGATCAAAAAAGCTCATCAGAGACTCTACTTCCTCAGGCGGCTGAGACGAGCTGGTCTGGGAAGCTCAGTCCTCACCTCCTTCTACAGGTGTGCAGTGGAGAGCATCTTGTGCTCGAGCATCAACGTGTGGCATGGAGGCTGCACAGCTGCAGAAAGAAAAGCGTTGCAGAGAGTGGTGAAGGCTGCACAGAAGTCTGTCAAGAGTCAGTCTCCCCACCATCACAGACATCTACACTTCTAGATGCAGGAAGAGGGCCACCTGCATCATGAAGGACCCCACCCACCCAGCACACACACACACTTTTTACTCCGCTCCCCTCAGGAAGGAGGTTGAGGAGCTTTAAGTGCAGAACCACTAGACTGAGGAACAGCTTCTATCCTGAGGCTGTTACTCATGAATCTCTAACCAGGATAATCGCTGTGAAAAAATTACATCATATTGCTGCTGACCGGTTTCATGTTGATGTGTTCATGCGTGCTCATTTGCTCACACAGACTCATGCTCATGCTTGGCGTAATACTTTTATGCTACTAGTGATTAGTGTATTATTTAGTTGATGTTTTTCTTAGTTCATATCTTAGATCTTATCACTGTTTTTCTTTTACATTTTATTGTTGGATGTAACAGGGACCCTGTGTACATAATTTCGTTCCACCACATGTACCACATGAGGTGCGAATGACAAATAAAGAACCATGAATCCTTGAATAACCAAAATGTGTCATTATAAATACCCAAGTGCTTTCCCTAAAAAACTGGCTTTTCCCATCAGACAACGGGGAAGAGTATCTTAGCTGTACCAAGGACTTCTCAACAAATCTCAGCGGTCACTGCTGGAATCTGGTAAAGCCACTTTCTAGCCTGATGGTCATAGCCCAGAGTTTGGTCAATGTTGATGAAAATTCAAAAGCACCTTCTTTCTATGAAGTCCATGCTCAATAATCCAGGTATACAATCCAACAATTTCAGTCAGGTCATCTGGACAGTTTCTTTTTTTGTGCTGAAACGTTTTGCCTTCGATCCAGAAGGCTTCATCAGTCAAGGAAACACACAACAAAACTGATTCTTCCCCCAACAGCTTACTCAAAGTGGAACAAACCAGTTTTGTTTGTTTCAACCAGTTTGACACGACTGTCAATAAGGAAGAGGGCCGGCAATGGAGGAGGAAGCGTACCAAAAAGACCATCTTATCACAAGCAGACAAAATATGTGACAAAATATCAAGATTTTGAAGTTGAGAAAAAGTTTGAACCTCTTGTTAATTCATTTGAGCTAAGATGAAAAGAGTTGCTCAAACTGAGGTGGAGATTAAAAAAACAACAACCGCACACTTAATGATTTATCTGTGGTCTGAAATGACTTGAGAAATCACACAAATGTCAGTCAGTTGGGGGCAAAAAGCGCTTTTTTTTTTTTTTTTTACACAAGTAATGTTAAACCCGTTCTCATTTTATAAGTGTCTGGCTAACATTCTTAGTCATCATACTGCAACCAGTCATGATTTAACATTTTAAATTAAAGGCAAAACTTGCTCTGAAAAGTAACTTAATGAATAAAGCAAACAAAAAAAAAAAATCACTACTTATGCCACAGGTCCAAAAATTCAGAAAAAAATAGTAAAATATCACAAAACAGAAAGTAACTTCTACATTAACCATTTTATTACGTATCTTGTACCTTTGACACAGATTTTAAGAGTAGCAGAAATTCAGCATGCACAACTTCCATTTGCAAATCCAAGGTCAGTTTTCACAAAGCTTTAGCAGTACCAAACACAAGGCATTTGTTTTAGAAGAATTATTTATTCTTTCTTACCGATAAATGGGTACAGGAAGATAATTCTCCCCTTCAATGCGGATGTCTGGGTACCGCTGGTACAAGGCCTGCGTGTACTCCTCAAACACCCGCTTGTACCCTCAGGAAATGCTGGGAGGAAAAACAATCATAATGTGAAGTTTAAAATACAAACATTAGCATTAGCAGCAACACCACAAAGATCAGCAGTTCAAAACAAATCAGTTTTTGAGTAGGTCATTTGTTTTTTCTTTTTAAGAAGAACATATTACTTTTTTCCCCTTTATATAAATATTTTACCATATTATGTTACATATGGGGGGAGTGGTGGCGCAGAGGTTAGAGAAGGTGGGCCTGTGATCGGAAGATTGCCGGTACAAGCCCCGGTAACGACAAGATCAAAAATGAGGGTGGGGTAGGTGAAGTACCCACACCTGCCCCCACCCTCATTCGCCCCACCCTGGGCCCATGAGCAAGGCTCTTAACCCCCATCTGCTCCTTAAACAGGTCTCTCTTGAAAATGAGTTCTTGTGGCTCAATGAGACTACCTGGATAAATAAAGGCTAAAAATATAATGTATATATTTATTTATTGAGTGGTAATATAAAGTCTTTAAAAATACAAGAGTATAAAAAATGCTCAATAATCCAGGTATACAATCCAACAATTTTCAGTCAGGTCATCTGGACAGTTTCTTTTTTTTGCAGCAACGGTTCACCTTCCATCCAGACGGCTTCATCAATCAAGGAAACACACAACACAAAACTGATTCTTCCCCCAAACAGCTGGTGCCAAAAACACCATCTTAGCACCAACATAACTGGTTTGTTCCACTTTGGAGTAAGCTGTTTGGGGGAAGAATCAGTTTTGTGTTGCGTTTCCTTGACTGATGAAGCCTTCTGGATGGAAGGTGAAAGGTTTCAGCAAAAAAAAGAAACTGTCCAGGTGACCTGACTGATAATTGTTGGACAAGAGTATACACTTTGTCTGGGTCACGTTTCTGACAGTTATAAATTAACATTTTCATGAATCATTTAGGCAGCACGGTGGCACAACTGGTAGAGCTGCTTCCTCTCAGCGAGCAGGTCCTTGGTTCAAACCCCGGTCCAGGGGCCTTTCTGGGTGGTTTGCATGTTCTTTCCGTGCATGCGTGGGTTTTCTCCGGGTGCTCCGGTTTCCTCCCACAGACCAAAAACATGCATGTTAGGCTGACTGGTAACTCTAAATTGTCCCTAGGTGTGCGTGAGAAAGTGAATGGTTGTTTGTCTCCATGTGGCCCTGTGATGGACTTGCGACCCATCCAGGGTGTACCCCGCCCCGCCCCTCGCACAGTGATTGCTGGACATGGGCACCGGCGATCCCCGTGACCCAAAATGGAATAAACGGGTAAAGATAATGGATGGATGAAGTTAGAAAGCAGTTTAAAACCTACAAAACAGATTTATTTTTCTAAAGCTTGTGGCAATTTCTAACAAGGTGGAGAAAGGCCTTCTGGACAGAAATTTCTTAGTTGAAACGTTTCGTCTTCTATCTAAAAGATCTTTTTGATAAAAGATTGGATCTTTTGGTCGTTTCAACAAAGACGACAATCCAGAGGACCTGACTCAACCTTGTTAGATTTATCTACTCGGATTATTGAGCAAGCTTCAGGACATTGTGTCACTTTCTTTCCTCGTGTCATAACTTTCATAAAATCGAACTGTACTTTACTTGTTCTTTTGTCTAACGTGGGTCTCTGTGTCATCAAAAGGCGTCAGACATAACTATATTTACAATGTAAAGGGTTTCCTGGTCTTGTTTTATCTTGTCATCGAGCATAACCAGGGTAATAGTTTTGCGTAAACGTGAACTTACTAGTTAATAATTTGTTAGGTAGAGGCCAACTCAACAACCAAGCTCAAAACATAAAAATAGTTTTATGTTGCATAAATACATTACGGACGGAATTTAGTGTTTACATTACACAAGAAACTAAGGGATCCGTGAAGGGTTTACCGTTCACGTTTTACTGCGGAAGTGAGGCCATGAAGCTTCGAAGACTGCAAAAACAAGTGTAAATATTGTTTTATACGTTTTCATTGTGCCTTTGAAAATTATAGATTCTGTTCACAATAAACATTACTCCCGTGTTACCAATAAACCAAAATTCTGATTTTCGGCCTACGACGTTGATAGCAAGTGAGTTAGCAAGATTGCTAGCTATGCCGCGACATGTTTTCTTTTGACGCTCATTTAGCTTACCAGATTTGAAACTTAAGAAGAGGTCCTGTAGCAAACTGCATTTTCATCTTTTTCACGCCACTACTGTCACCAGTCGTGGCGCAACACAGTGAAAAAAGGCCCAAGGCGAGGAGCGACAACCGTAACCTGTACATGACACGCCGATTTCCTCTGCTCTTGCCGTCAGAACTAAGGTGGTGCTTAATCTGGTTGGCCCCGCCTTCAGTTCTTCTTCTGCGTTTTATTGGCGGATTGGAAGACTAACACGTTTACCGCCACCTACTGGACAAAAATGTACAGAGAGAAACAACCAGACATGAGAAGAACTGCTCATCACCGGTAATTCTTAGTATTTTGATAGGAAAAAAAACCTTTATATATATATATATATATATGTTAATCATGTGCATTTAGCATATAGTATTACCTTGAAATACTTATTCCAATTCATCCAGCTTGCATTGTTATATTCTACCATGTTCTTGTTTACGATCCCTTTTGGACCTTATAAATATTACTTTTTCGCTTTTTGGTACTTTATTTTTGTACCCTTATCTGCACGCTTTAGTATTTGTTTGTTTGTTCTTTGTCTTTTTAGCGAATCAAATCGGTTCTTCTCACCGTGAGCATTTCATTGCACTGTTAATCTTGTATATGACAAACACAACTTGAACTTGGATGGATGGGTTGGCCCTTTCTTGTAGTGTTTAAAACTTGTGACAAAGAAAAACTGTATTATTTAATTTGCTTTACCATATCTATATATTTTTTTGTCCTTTTACATGCATCTTTATTCACAACTTATAAATTGAATACATTCATATTTTCTTCTTCGTTTTAAATATACCCTCTTTTTCCGTTTTAAAATATGTTCTTTAAAACCAATACCAAAATAAAAATAAACTTGTCCTACCAATCACCAAGAAACAATTGTGAGCACCAAAAAAAAAGTTAAACTATTTCAATATTTGCATCTTAAGAGACAAAAAATAAATAAATAAATGCATAAGTCACACACACGTACACAAAAGATTTTTTAGTTTTTCTAAGCTATACACAAGATTTATTTAAAGAAAGTCAACTTTATTGAAGCACGAAACATAAAAAACGCTTTTAGACAAACAAACAATAAAAGTTTAAAATGAGAGTTTCTGGGTGTTCATTCTCAGCCTCAGTGTTTCATCCTCGCCTTGCGCTCTTGGGCCATTTTTGACTGGAGCTCCAAAAGTGTGTCTGGATGTCAAACAAAAGAAAATGTAAACATCCATAAATATTTTGGCTAATTTAAATCTACAGACTATTTAGGTAAATTTACAAAGTTAAAAGGGTATTGAGTATATTAAAAAAAAATTAAAAGATGTGCTATGGTCTAGTGTTGAAGTCCGAATAAAATAATGAACAAAAATTTAACACCACAATCCAAAAAGGCTATCGGTAAATTTATTACAGCAGACACCTAAAACTGAGTTATGGATGATACAAACCCATCAACTTCTGAGAATAGGTCATCAAGTCAGGAAGTCCTTCCTCAATATTAAATGTGATTTGGTCCATCTTCTCTGCCAGCTGGCTTGCCCTCTGAGAAGCAAAAGTTAAATTGTTAAGGATTTAAATAAAAGGGTTAGAAACTATACTGTAAAGAAACAAATAGAAAAATTACCTTAAGTTCTGTGTAAACCTTTTCTTCCAACTCTGTTACCTCAGAAATGACATCAAGCACACTGGTGTTTCCAACACTTTCCTGCACCACACAAAATCACATTTTAAATACACACACACACGATATGATCTCTTGAAATGTTACGCGAGCTTACCTCTTCTGAGGAACTGTTAATTTCCTCTTTTTCTTTAAGTGCTCCAGTGGTTTTGGAGTTGCCATTCAACTCTTTCACTCTGCCAAAGAACAAAAGAGGTTTTAAACTAACCAAATATGCACTACAGTACATTTTACAAAAGCATTTATTTTTTTCTAAAAACAATGATTAAATTTCTATGAAGCTCAAACATTAAATATGCACCTGTCTGCGTAACGTAGTGTGTTCATGGTGTATTCACAAGAAGCCATGCCTGGAGACACCATGGCAATCTGAATAAAAAAAGTAAAAGTACATATTAATTTTAAAATGATAATATGTAAACACAGTTGAGAAGCATCCAGGTCATTTGATACAGTGGAACCAGATCAAGAAACTTTAAAAAGCAATGTTTTAATCAACAGTTCACAGTAGCACAGTCGAGTTGTCGCCTCTTAGCAAGGTCGCAGAATCCCCTCCCGGTCTGGTGCACGTCTGGGTGGAGTTTGCATGCTCTCCTTGTGTACACATTTGTTCTCTCTGGGAACGCTAGTTTCCTCCCACAGACCAAATCTATGCAAGTTAAGTTAATTGGTAACTAAACTGTCACAAGGTGTACGACAGAGTGTGAATGATCGTCTCGATGTGGCCCTGTGAGGGACTTGCCACCTGTCCAGGGTCTACCCCACTTTTCATACAGTGACTCCTGAACATAGGCACCAGATTCTCTGCAACCCAGAAAGAAAACGCAGGTAAAGAAAATGGATGCGCAAGTTTGTCAGTGAACGTACCATGCATGTCTTGGACTTTTCTCCAATGAAAGAATCCCTGAGCACTTTGGTTAAAGTGCTCATTCGGAAAGGAATGTGATCACTGTTCCTTCCCAGAGAACGGATACACTCCTAAAGAAGACGGAGCAGACATGTAGATCAGTGGTAAACATTATTTAAGGGGCTGAGAAATGTACAATATATAGTACAAACACATATATGTGTAGTAGTGTTTGTAGGCACTACTAGTAGTCGCTCCAGTCTCCACATGAGGTAGCCAAGCTTTACCTTGAGAGCCAGTAGGCTCCGGTTGATCTCTGCGGTCTCAACCAAAGTGCTGCGGTCATTGCTGCTGACGTCTGTGCCACGCTCATTGCCAGCCAGATCAACCAATGAAAATTTGCCGTAAAGTGTGGCGGCGCGGTCATTGCGCCGGAGTCCAATCTGGAGGACAGCATGAGAGCGTGACGAGTTGGCATTGGCAGAAGTCTGGCCTGACGTTCTGAAAAGAACAGGAAAATATTTTTTTTTAAATGAGGTTAAATTCTTTACAAAAGCACATTTAAAAATGACCATTTGACCAGAATTTTACACTGAAAATGAACTGCACAGAAACAGAAGGCAGCACAAATATTGATATGGAATAATTAGTTTCTAAACTTATTGAAATGACCCATTACTGAGCTTATTGTATGAACTGCACAATCTGATTTAATTTGGTCTGGCTTACTGAAAAAGAAGAAAAAAAAAAGAATAAATAAACAGTAAAAAGAGAGGGAGAGTGCTTGCTTCAAGTGAATTTGATCAGTTGTTCCTTGGACTTGGTTTCAAAGTTTGACTTTGGACTTGGACTGCTTTTTACTATGTTCAGTTTTGACTATTTCGTGATTAATTTTTATTTTTTTCGTGTGCATTTGTTACAATAATGAACTGTGATTCAGATATAAAAGTTCTTGCAAATAAACTTAAGCACCCATGCACACACCTCAGTGCTGTTATCCACCTTAGTCCTGGGGGCTCTACTGTAGAAATGATTATGGGTACAACTTCCTGTCAGACACTGGAAGTAGCAGTAAGCATTGGTCAACTATGGTAGCAGAGCATGGACTGCAGTTTGAAAGTTCTTTGCATTCAGTTTAGCAGATAAAACGCCATTTTTTGTTTTGTTTACATTCATTTTTAACAACTATAAAGTTTACTAAAATAGCCTTGCGGAGTTCAGGTACCTGTTCTGTTCGCAGCCGCACGAACAACGAGACCGAACTAAATCAGTGGCAACAACTAGGTTTTGAACACGGACCCAAAACAAAAAGAAGAAAAAAAAAGTGTTCCTGTGAAAAGCTGTAGTTTCTGTCTCAGATGAGGAATTAAGAAGAATGTGGCTAAAAAATGTGAACTTGAAGAGACCACCCAAAACGCTGTACGTGTGCTCATTTCACTTTGTTGACAAACGGCCGACGAAGGAAAACCTGCATCCTACTTTGTGGCTGGACTACAATAAACCACCGGAGAAGAGACGCCGGATCCTTAGAAGAAGGACTGAAAACAATGTGACAAGAATATCGAGTATGATTTCAGTGAATGAAGGACACAGCATTAGTATTTGTTTGTCTCCGGTATTACTATTTTCTCTGCAATTAACCCAAGCTCAGTGATGGAGGACTTTAAGGCTTTGGCTGGACTCTGTGTCTGATTTAAGGCAAATAAGATTGTGTCCCAGCTCTTAACTAAATGCGGCCGACCTTATTACTGTGTAGATACCAGAGCTTTTCAGGTTGTTCATTGCTTCACCGTCAGAAGCAAAAATTCAATGAAATAGCTGAACTGAACATGCTAGTAGATGTAATCTGCAGCCACTTCTTTAGGTCATCCTCCCATCCCTTGTCCGCAGCAGTATGATTATATTGTCTTGTATGAGCTTTGACAGGTGGTGTTCCCACATGTTTAAATCCACAATGTTCAGAGAAACTACCGTACATTAGCTCGTACTGTTCGCACATAAACAAATGCTGGTTCTGGTCTGCGCCGGAAGTCATGCCCATAATTTGTGCAAGGCAGCATGGGGGCCAGGAATAAGGTGGATAGTCCAAGTACTGAACAAAAAAATAAAAACATCAGCAAAAAATGCAACTAAAACACCCCCCAAAATTTGAAAAACCTTGCTAAACCCTGCATAACTACTGATCAAAACCACCTTAAAAAGACAAGAACTAGCTGTTTGTAAGCAAAGACGCAAAGAAATGAACTGGTTTAAACCTTTTGTAGAGTAATGCATGTCATAAGAAAACCAAATCTAATCTAAATCTAGAAAAGCCATTTCTCTACCTGCATGCACTGCCAATCTGTAGCATCTTGATGACGTCTTCTGCTGTGGACACACAGACCTCCTCGAGCCCCACCACCTGAACCTGCTGTCGGTCATCCTCCAAAACACGGAGCTTGGCCTTCTTGTTGAGCAGGTCGTACACCTGAGTCCAAAAGTAGATTTTACAACATGGCCTATTTCAACAAACTGACGTTCTCTACAAAAATGTACTCCAGGTGAAAAGATGCTTCTTACCTTGCCATTGTAAATCTCAAAGAAGCTGACATAGACGGACAAATCCAGATGAGCATATTTTCTGTGCGTGAGGTAGGTGAAAACATCTTGGGCTAAACGGGAAGACGGGATACCACAAAGATTAGTTCACACAGTGGCCAGTTATTTGCATTCTACATAGTCTATAGTTTAAAAAGTCAATGTTCATTTGAACAAAGCCAAAACAAAAATTGTAATAAATTCCAATGTAAGCATCTGAATTTTCTAATCCAACCTGCAAAGGCATAAATTCCTGTGGCACTGTTCTGGTGCCTTCCTGTGAAACCACCTCCCATTGTCTGTTAACAATAAATAAATGTTGTTTATTTAAATCTAGAAAAAAAAAGTTTCAAGACATTCAGGCCTGTAAAGTCAGCAGATACTTACATGGGTCTTACCACTTCCTGTCTGGCCATAAGCAAAACAAGTTGCCATACCACCTTCAAAAATGGACTTCACCAAGGGCTGAGCACTGAACCTAAAACCACACAAATAAAAATCCAACAGATCAGACATGCTTCACAACAAAAGTACAACTGGAGATTTATATTTTCAGTGATGAATACTCTGAAGGTTTGATGAACATGTGTACATCACTTAGTTTCTGGGAAACAAGATTGAATCCCTTCATGATCATGAGTTTTTAAAAACTGTAATCCTCCAATAAAAAAACGTGATGCTTTTGAATTTAAGCATAATTTAAAAGAAACAATCTAATTGCTTAAATAAATATAAAGAAATCTGAGTAATTACTTGTAGACCAGTTCATTGGTGCTGTTTTCATCAAAGGAGTAGTCAAAGTGGAAGACTTGGTTGTCCAAGTACTTGGTAAGGTCCACCTTATGTTTTGGCTCATGGACCAATAAGGTACCGTTTCCAGGTACGGACACCACATCTATCTCCTTCTTCGTATTCTCTGAAAAGCACAAAACAGACAAGACTTTATATTTTATACATAATTTAGTTCATTACAATCATGTATTCGTAGCCTACCAAGTCTGTTTAGAGGCCGTTTGCGAACGCACACACAGATCTTCTGTGGTTCAGTCTGAGAGGGAAGGAAAAGCAAATCAAAGTGTTCACTCTGTATGCAGGTTTTAGTCAAGAGGCTTCATACATGGAACATGGTTCCTGTGTACAAACTCACCAGGTCCGTTGTTGATAGTGGACAAATTTCCAAAGTCTCTCTGTAATCTTGGATCATCTCAAAGAACTTCTGGTTTGGTCTAGATGCTTCTGAGAACTAAAGAAAAACGGTAAAAAAAAATAAAAAAAAAACATTGCTTGAGAGAGTTTTGCAGATTGTACAGTGGTTTGAAAATATAAATAATAAAATATTAATATTTATAACCTTTCCCTTCTTGTTTGTCAAGTCAAAGGACTTCACATTAGACAGCCTTTTGTTGCTTTTGTTCATTTCCTGAGCAGCCATCGATTTCCTTCTGCCTGAAACAGTTAGAATAAGCAAGTTTAAAAAATTTACTAAATCAAAACATGAAGTTCCAACACCTTGCCTAAACTTTTTGGGGGGTTATTTTAATATCAGAGTAGGAATGACTACCAACCTTTGGCTAAAGGCGGAGGAGGCATGAGCTCAGCTTCACTTTCCTTTCTGGCATCATGAACTGATGATGGCAGAGATGGTCCTGCTCTAGTGCCATTTTCTCTGCGCTGACGGTTAGAAAGTGCTACAGAAGGAAGAAAAACAAAATTTATAAAATTGATTTAGTTAAATTACTAAAATGAGAAGTCACTGAAGGTGATTTTAACGTACAAGACATGAAAATCCTAATTTCTTTACTGTGAATATGAACAATACCATGCGCAAAAGCCTCAGTTCTTGCTCAGCAGTAACAGTTTGCTCCACTCGGTATGGAAAATGTTCAACATTTTTCTCTTTAAATAAAGTCTTTAAAAATGTTTTTCGCCAACCGGAGCTTGTCGGGAGCGACGATGGATCAAAATCAGACTGAACGGTCTCGGGATTTCCTGAAGACGACATCACACTTGAACCAGGTGCTTGAACGGGTCCCGAGGCTTGGAACAAGCAAGTCTGCCGAGACCGAGTGGAAACTAAAAGCAAGCAAAATATTAAAATAGAAATTATAAAAAGGAAAACTGATAAAGACTTATAGCTTTCAAATTAATAAGTGGCCATAGCAAAATGCTCATCTTTCTACCATTTAAGGATGCATTAAATCTTTTTAGAAGCCTCCGTGGCAATATTTTAGTGATTTGTGTGGATACAGTTTATATGCCCTTTGCACAGCACCATCACAACTGTGTTGTCCAAAGTAGTGGTTGTGATCATCAGTGACTTTGGATCAACTGAGATATTAGACAAATATGCATGCAGAGAATATCCTGATACATGCTCAATAATCCAGGTAGAAAAATCCAAAAAAGTTCAATCTGGTCCTCTGGACATGCATGCAGAGAATTTCCCTACACCCAAACGTTTTGATTTGCACCCCAGTGACACTATGAGAGTGATAAAATCCACACTAAGCAGATTTAAGTCCATGAGAAATGTGATTGTTCACTTTCTTCAGAGAAAGGAATATGCCAACCTGACTCTTGAACCATTGGGCTTGCCAGAGTAGCAGCTTTGGAACCAAACAAGATGTTAGGAAACAGCTACTGAACATGTTCATCTCAAAATAAAAAAAAGATCACTTTTTTATTTTATACATACAGGCAGACAGAGCAGGAATCCTGGATGAGCGCAATCGACCCTCATATCTCTGCAGAAGAAGGAAGAGACGTTTGTTTCATCCAATATGAATTTAGTTTTCAGTAGTTGTGATATCGATTACCCCACTATGTAAATCCTGCATATAAGGAAAGTTGAGAAAAATGTTTACCAATCAATTGATTCATGCTTAAAATAATTTTAAGGCCATGAAGAAACAAAATATTTAACATTTTTACAAACTTCCTTTGATGTTCAGCTTAAACAATATATAATTTGAACCTAACCATCTTAAAAAATAAAATGTTAAGAGTAACACTTACTGTTTCTAGAATATCAGCTGGTGTCTCAGCCGTCTCCGATATCTTGTTGGTAAAAGATTTTACAAGCTCAAAAAGGCCTGAATTTAGACTGAAGAGATCGCTCACTTCCACCTACAAACACAAAACAACTTTCTTTTGTAATAAACTTTTTTTTTTTTTTTTACATTTTAAGCAGCTCTACGTTTCAACTAAAGCTGGACACATGTTGACAAAAATCATCTGAAAATTAAAGGCCTGTCATTGCCTTGAAGAAATGCATATTGCCCATCACCTCTTTATGTCAGTTTTATATTAAGATCTTATGAGAAAGAACTAAATTAAAGCCGTTATGTAACCGACATTATGAACAATCTCATGCAATATCGTAAGATCGCACATAAATGTTAGCGCGTGTTGAGGATGACTCAAATACAACCACACGAGTGAAGTTCAGCATCTGTAGAACTGGCTGAATAACGTCCATTTTTATTTGGGTCAAGGTAAATTAGCTGTGGCAGCCACCTTGAACTGGGTTGACTCCAACTGTTGATGCGTTTCAGCTGCACAGCCAATTAATACAGAGACTTGCTCAAATCTGCTCAGTGGTTCTTGAAATATTCTGTTTATACACACAGTTGACTCTAATCGTTGATGCCACGTTTTAAATCAAAGATGATGAGCTCATAGTCGGTGTTGTCAATGACTCACAGCTACTACCAGAGCTGAATATTTGAAAAACAAACAGCAGAGTTAAATATATTTTAGAGTTCCTTAGCTGCGGGGCTTATCTTTCATTGGGTTGACAATAAAAGTTAATCAGTTGTACGATTACTTTTTTTAAAACTTCATGTATATTCATCCACTGGTTTATGGGATATTTTTTGCCAACAATACAGACAAATAAACACATCGAAAAACAAATGCAATAAAACTGCTTATTTCAATTTTAGTGGGTGTGTTTTAGAGCCATTTGTCTTGGGTGTTCAAGTTGTTTGTGTAAAAATTAAAACATGTGTTAAAACAGAATATGTACAATTTATTATGAATTCCTCAACCTAGATTCTCTAAGAAGTTAAGCATGCCTCGACTGGCTGGTGTCCAAGTCTAGAGGCAAAACTTAGATATGGTTTTACTAAAGATGGCCAGGTAGACTTAACAGTCATCTAGTGATTATTATAGTAATTAATTTCCATTTTTCCAGTGAATAAATTCCTGACCTCCTTTCCTCGGCATGCATTTCTCTCCAACCACTCCACCATCACTGTAGACTTGTTTTCATCAACGGACTTCACAGTCGACGAGTGGACTCGACCTGGTTGACACACAAAACAAATCAGTATCAAGTCAAGCTGGTGATGTCCATTTATTATTTGGAAGAAAATAAGTTAAAAACACGTATAACCTCACCATCACTGCGGCTGATCTGAACCTTCATTCCAACAAGTTTCGACAGGTTACCGTTCATGTTAGCTTACTGTGTTTGTCGCTACCGGATGGAATAAAAAAATGAATAAGCAGTAAGCAGTGTCGCCGACAAAAATAAGCCCCAAATCATTAACAAACACGGAAAAAAATGTTTGCCTGTCTTTTTGTGTTGTCCTTCTTTCGCTAACTTGTACCGGTACTTGGAACAACACAACCGTAAGTTTAAACTTGCGTCGCTTGTAGCTTTCTAACAATCTGATTGGTTCTTTTCAAAGATTTTCTTCTTCTTCTGTTGTTGAGCTGAAGGGCAGCACCTCTTCCTGCGCCACCTGCTGGATTAATTAGGAATGGTCTTCACGATCTGAAAACATTTCGGTAAAAAAACGGGATTTTTTTAGAAGTCGAGGGGCTTCTATTAAGCCATGTTTATAAATTAGGTTTATAAGCAGTTGTATTTATTTTGTCACATACAAGTGTAATAACCATTCTACCTACTTAATTAAAGTAAGGTGATTTTTTTTAAGCAAAGGTTTTCACAGAAAAAGTTTTAGGCAGCTTAATAAAACATTTTTACTAATTAATTTTTTTATCAAAAGTTCTTTTAGATTAGCAAATGGCAGTGCAAATACAGAGAGCAAAACAAAGACAATATTAAACAAATTTCCCTTGACAAAATCAAGTCAAGTCCTGCAGTGTGCCTTTCCATGTTTACATTTTTGAAGCTCCAATTTTCGTCTTTGTTTTAAAATTTGTATATTACCTTGGCTATTTTTTTTAAATGACTTAATGAGAATAGTGTATTTTCAAAAACTTAATTTGTGATTTTATTAATTTTTTTTTTTTTTGTATAAAGTCATTTTATTTTGCTTGCATCAAATGTGTGGGGTAAACGAGTGCTTATTGCTATAATAAAATGTAAAAAATATGGCTTTGGGGTTCAGTTACAATAAATACACCAGTCAGCTAATTAAAATCCACATTTATATAATCTCAAGTTTATATTATTTATTTCAAGCTAAATATTTACTCAGTTTCTAGATTACAATACAGACATGATTTAGTATTTTATCTCATTTCATAATGTAGCGTGTTTTTTACATCACAACTTTTTACATTTTTCATTTTATATGTATTGTATGGCTGTTTATTGTTGTGTGTACCTTATCTGTGGTTTTGGCTAAAAGAGGTCTCTCTTGAAAATGAGTCCTCGTAATTCAATGAGACGAAACTGGATAAAAAAGGTTAAATGAATGAAAATTAAAGACTTGAGACCCAATTCAAGATGGCCACCAGAGCAGTTTGTTCTTAGAAAATTGAAAATGGCTTTAAGTGTCAATTTTTCAGATACTTAGTTAAAATTTGTTGTGGTAGTAGCTGAGCATTATTCCCAGTTAATTACTCAAATATTCACTGGTTACATCAATTCTGTTCTTAAAGCAGACTTGAACTTAAAAGTTCGCAAAAGATGTCAGAAATCCAAAATGTAATGACACTTTCAAAAATGAATCATGGGGACTCAGCTAAAACTGATGAACTTTTGGTAAAGTCAAATCATGATCAATTCATGATGACAGGCAGGAGGTGGAACACCTCAAGAGCTGGTACAGGAAGAACAACCTTCACATCAAGAAAATGAAGGAGATGGTCGTGGATTTTCAGACGGAACAAACACACCTACCCCCGCCCCCCTAAATATGGAGGATCTGCGGTGGAAGTGGTCTCCACTCCAGCTACAAGTACTTTGGTGTGCACCTGAATGACAACCTCAGCTGGGGCAACAACACCACCAGCCTGATCAAGAAAGCTCACCAGAGACTCTACTTCCTCAGGCGGCTGAGACGAGCTGGTCTGGGAAGCTCAGTCCTCACCTCCTTCTACAGGTGTGCAGTGGAGAGCATCCTGTGCTCCAGCATCAATGTGTGGCATGGAGGCTGCACAGCTGCAGAAAGAAAAGCTTCGCAGAGAGTGGTGAAGGCTGCACAGAAGTTTGTTGGAGTCAGATCCCCACCATCACAGACATCTACACCTCTAGATGCTGGAAAAGGGCCACTTGCATCATGAAGGACCCCACTCACCCAGCACACACACTTCTTGCCCCGCTCCCCTCAGGCAGGAGGTTGAGGAGCAGGCTCCAGTGTAGTCGGGCGTACGTCAGTCCGTGGAGGTCCGTGCGTACCGGATTAGAGTCGAAGCAGACATCCACTGAGCATGTCCATGTTAAGCTCAGTTTTTACCACCACGTACATGTACTCTGTGTCACACAATAAACTGCCCAGCGACGGACTGTTTTGTATGCGACACCAATGTATTAAGTTCCCCTTCTTCATCCCTGGTCTGGTTTGATGGCCTTTTCTTTTGTTTGTTTGTTTTTTCCCAAGAGGCAAGCGATCTCTTCCTCCTCCTCTGTTTTGTTTTTTTGTTTGTTTATTTTTTCAACATGTCAATCAATCCAGTAGGCGTGTCAACAAATGACCAATCGGCAACCTCAATTTGCCCCGAAAGTAAACACCCCTTGTCTGCAGAGCTGGGGTGCAACCACTCAGGGTGGACGGTCAAGTATGAAGTCTGAACCCTCTGCAGACAGTATGTGATGAGTCAGCGTGGAAAAAAGTCTGCACGAGTATAATGGAGCCTTAAACCACTAGACTGAGGAACAGCTTCTACCCTGAAGCTGTTAAACTAAGATCACTGTAAAAAAAATCACTGTGATGCCACTTGATTGTTGATATGTGCTGCTAACTATCCATGCTGCTGTATTCATTCATACTCATCTGTTCACACAGACTCATGTTCGTGCTGCTGTTGTTTGGCGTATTGTTTTTGCACTATTAAGTGTTTAGTGTATTTCTTAATTCATATCTTAGATCTTATTACTGTTTTTCTTTTACAATTTATACTTTTGTTGGATGTAACTGCGACCCTGTGTACACAATTTCGTTCAACCACATGTACCGCATGCAATGCGAATGACAATAAAGAAACCTTGACCTTGATTATTAATTTTTTTCAAGATTTAACCAAAAGGCTCTCTCAATATATTGTGAGATGATTTTAGTTTAAAACAGCAGAAAGGAAGTGAGTGCATTCCTTTAAAGAATGCTAAGCCTTTCATTTAAGTGTTTACACCCCTTCTTACAGACAGGTCTTGTCGCCCCATAGCCATAGCCAATATGTGTTAACACTTTTCATTTTGTGTAATCAAATGAAACCCAGTATGTCTGTGACACACATATAATCACTAGTGAATAGAAATGTGTCAGATGTGAAATAAGTCATGTATTCATAAACTTTGACCCCACCAAGGCTGTTGTTTCAGTTTTACAAGCTTGACTTGTGTTGGGCAACATTAGCTGTTTGTCTGTGAAGGTACAATCACACACAAGGAATCAAGTCATTTGTGCCGTGACAAAACGTGAATGATTTCATGAAAAATGCTACACATCACACATTAATCTTTAATATTTAATCTTGTGGCAGGTTTTGTTTTCGTTTTACAAGCCCAAATTATGCTAAATGCAGAAGCCTTTTTCTTTCTGCTTTTCATCCATGCACAAACAGGATTCCTGTGTTTGTTCACATGCTGTCTGTCTCTTCCCACACCTTCTGCAAACCAGTCTCCCGTGACATCAGCAATCAGTGACAGCTGGAGAATGACCCATAATGCAGTTCAGCCTTTTGCCTTCAGTGTGGGAGGCTTCACATTTCCCCTTTCTTCCCCCCCCCCCCCTTTTATTTTTCCAATACACACCCATACATCCTCCAAACCTGACTATACACAAGCTTGACTCATGTAAACACATTCCCCTCAAGCTAACACAGACACATGACAAATCAAAGCTCCAATAAACATCTTGTGCTAAGCAATTTTCCCCCAGCCACCAAGGGATGAAAAATAAATAAATCCCTGTCGGTCGACTGTCCGGGCCATTTGGTGGGTCTGTCTGCCAGTGACTGGGTGGCCCAGGGTTGCTTGGTGTGAGGCCTGGGACTGAGCCACAACTGTTTCCTGTGGGCAGCCCAACCCCCAGAACTTCTGCACAACTGGCTTGGTGGGTGGTATTCCCCTCCCCCTTATGTTCCCCTCAACCCCCTACTCCACCCAGAAAAAAAAAAAACCTACATCCTCCTCCTTCTTTCAGAGCTTTTTACTCCTAGCGCCTTCCCCCTTTCCTCCAGTCACTTGGCCCATCCATTTTCACAGCTCCAGTTTGCCCACAGCAGCCTTGCGTTCATTAAAAAAGCAAATGACCTAAATGTAAATTTGCTGCATTTTATACATAATAAATTTGTGTGGTGTTTAAAATTATAGCCCATATCTACTAAAGCTTTCTGCAAAGAAAGTTAGATTTATTTGGCTTTAAGATCCCTTGAAATGTCATAAATAAGGAAACAAAACATAGTAGTAAGTTTCTTTCAGCTGCTCCCTTCGTCAGGGGTTGCCACAGCGAGCAAACTCGCACAACATTGGATGCTCTTCCTGATGCAACCACAGACCACCGAGCTACCACATCCCTCTGTGTGAAGCAGAGAGCTGCTATCTAGGACACCCGGAGGAGCAGATGGTGGGGGTTAAGGGGCTTGCTCAAGGGCCCAGAGTGGGACGAATGAGGGTGGGGGCAGGTGTGGGTGCTTCACCTACCCCACCCACATTTTTTTGATGTTGTCGGTACTGGGGCTTGAACCGGCAATCTTCCGATCATCTAGCCTCTGCGCCACCACTCCCCATATATATGTACATACAATACTTACAATAATAATTTAATATAATACGGTGTATCAAACAGCAGCCTGAACATGAGTCTGTTGTGAGCAGATGGGCATGATTATAGCAGTTTAAGGTCTATCAGCAGCATAAATCAGCAGCACAGATAAAGTGACAAATCTTCAGTTAAAGTGTCATTACAGTGATTTTTCTGGTTAGGGATTTAGAAGTCTAATGGCCTGGGTAGAAGCTGATCTTCAGTTTAGTGGTTCTTTTACCGTAATGCTCCACAATTTCCTTTCTTTAAAATGTAAGTCCTTCCTTGAAAGAATATGTCTTAATGGGAGCATAGTTTGTTCT